GACTTAAAAATCAAATTCCCCTGACATACATTTTTTTTAATCTGTGCCAAAAATGTGTTTTCAGAGAAAATCTTATTTTCATACTCAGACTTTGTATTGTCACTCATTTGTATAAATGCGCTTCAGTACAGCACGGGCCCTGCTCCCGCGATGCGGAAGTGTCACACAGCACCTGTACAAAAAGACTGGCTAATCCCCTCTTCCTGTTACCTTGACCTCTCCCCCAACTTCCTAACACTTATTAATTTATGAAACTGTTTTTCTCAGCGCAGTTTTGTTTTGTGTGTCCATTGGATTACAAACTTTATTAAAAAATACAAAACACGTCAAATGTGAATGTGATTGTTACTTGGGTGGGGAACGGCTAAGCCTCATCCCACTTTTGGGTCCTTCCCCCAAGTCTGTATATGGGACCTGTTTCCTTTCTGCCTCTCCGTCTTCCCAAGTACCAGTTTACCTTGTACAAAAGAGATTTTTGTCAGGGGTGCTGAATTAACCATTTTTTAGTGTTGTGGTGTAAGTATCTGTGAAACTGCAAGGTCCTGATGGGTTCTTAGGTGGTGTGGAAGGCACTCGGACACTGCAGCTGTGCTTTCTCGCATCCTGCCCCTTCTCCCAGGGTGGAGCAGGCTGGCTCCTTGGGCTCAGTTAACCCTGTTTCTGCTTCCAGATACGAGGATGCCCTGCGGCTGGCTCCATGACAAGCTGTGGACCGGGGTGGGAACAGGGACATGGGGCTGGAGTTGGCGGTCTCCCTCACGGTACCGACGGGGCTGCTACAAACAGGTCTATACTTTTGGTGCAGGAAGATGGTAAGTGTCCCCTCTGAACGAGGGATCACCGCTGCTGGGGGTGAACCGTGGAGAAGGGGCTGAGACAGCATCACTGACAGGAGTGAGGAAGCTGCTCCACCGGCCCTGCCTGCTGTGCTCCCAGCTCCCCAGTGAAGCTTCCAGCTGCCCCTTCCTGTCCCTCAGGGCCCTGGCCTGGTGGTGGAGACTGCACTGATTGAGTGCAAGTGAATGCTCCCAAAAGATGGCACTGACTTGGCCTCAGTCCTCAGACCGGGGTTACTGGTAAAGCAAGTGTGGAGCCATCCTGCTCCCCAGGCCCATCAGAATTGGGCTGGTGGCTTGGGCCTGGCCCTCTCCTCTGTCTACCTTGCTGCTCTGGCTGAAAGGACCCCTGAGCCGGGCCTGGCAGAAGTGGCCAAAGCCATTGTGGCCAGGCTCTCTCTGGGTTGCCTGGCCCCAGTAAGCAGCTGTGACCCCTGCTGGGAGCAGAGGGGGACCTGCACTCCCTGGGGGGAGAGGGGAGGCTGGGTCCTAAAATCGAGCAGGTGAGAAGCCTCTGAGCAGGAGACTGGATGAGATGGGGCACGTGACGCTGTGGTCTCTTGGGCCCAAGTGCCACCCACAGCCCAACTCAGGGCAAAGCAGCCAGCCTGGCTTGAGATAGGTCCTGCGGTTCCAGTCCCATTCGGCAGAAGGGACAGCCTGGCTTTCCCAGGCCAGCCCCTTGGTAGTGTAATGTTTCTGTTGCATCAGCTATAGCTGCCAGCTCCCCACCCACCCCCACAGGGACCTAAAGGCAGCATTAGAAAATAATCAAATTTATTCTCTCTAGGGAATGGGGCCACCCTTCTCAGTTCCAGGATGCCATCCATCTTTAAATAAACAGTCAGGAGAAGGGCTGCCCACTCACTCAGCAGGTGGTGGACATTCAGGAGCTGTTGGGGGGGTCTCTGCCAGTGCGGGCTGGCCCTCGGCCCCGTCCCGAGGGCGGAAGACCAGCTCCCCAGCCTGCAGCACCTGCCCGGCCGGCCACGTGCTGCCCGGCCCGTACTGCTGGTAGAAGTCCGCATCCGTCTGGAACATGACCAGTGCCTGGGCCGTGTGGATTCGCACGTGCTGAGCCAGACTGTTAGCGTCCAGGAACTTGTCCCCACAGGAGTCACAGGCATAGAGGATGTGAGTGTTGGGGTCTGTGGAGGTGGGGGCTGTGGTCAGGGTGGGAAGGACCCTGGGGTCCACCAGCATTCACACCCTGGGTGGCCCCTCTCACCTTCTTCCTGCACTTGCTTCACAGCTTTGCTGATCTCGGCTTTAAGTACTTCCGTCTCGTCGGCTGTCACCGCAGCCCCTACTGGTACCACTGTGGGCACAATCACAGGGCCTAAGGCGAAGGCCACAGCACCTGCCCCACAGCTGCCGCCTAGAGGCAACCTGCCGTGCTTCCCTCTGCTGCCCGCAGCCCGCACCTGTGAGCTGAGTGACAGCCGTGGCTGCCAGGGCCTCAGTGGCCAGCGTGACCATGTCGTCCACAGTGACCACGCTGACCTCACCACCCTCCTCGGGCTCCAGGATCTTGATGCCTGCCTTGCCCTGGTGCACAGTCTTCACGTGGGAACGCAGGTTGTCTACCCGGTTGAAGCCACGACCACACTTGTCACACAGGTAAGGCTTCTCTCCTGGGGGGAGGCAAGGTTCTCTCCTGCCTTTGGGGGAAGGGGCAGCAGGGGTGGGGGTGGGAGGACCTCAATGCCTCCAGCTTGCCCAGCAGCCCTGTCTTTTCCAGCAAGAAGTGCTTTAAGGTAGCCATCAGCACTGCACAGACACCCCTGGTGGCACTGGCACCCCTGGAGGCTCTAAGAAAATGGGGTCGTCCTTTGAAGTGAACTGCCTTCAAAGCCACCTGCAGCAAGTGCCAGCACCCAAGGCTGTGGTCTGGGGGCACCCCCCTCCCCGCTGCGCCCCGACCTGAGAGCAGGGGCTGGGAAGGGACAGGTGCGGGCAGGGGGCACAGGCTCACCCGTGTGAATGATGATGTGCTTGGACAGGTCCCCCACGTTCACAAAGGCCTTGCTGCACACTTGTGTGGGCGGATGTTGTCGTGGTGGCGAATGTGATTTGCCAGCTGGCTGGACTGGACAAATCTGCGGGGCGGCAAGAGAGGGGCTCACACGGAACTGCCCAGGCCTGGGGCCTCCTGCCTCATCTAGACTGGACGGGACCCTGGGGCCAGAGCCTGGGCTTGGGCAGCAGTCTGCCCGGGTCCCGAGCCCCCAGTTTGTTTTCTGCCCCCCTCTCTGCAGAGTGCCTGGAACCCCACAGCACCCTGGGCATGGGCAGGGAAGGGCAGGACCTCTTGCCGCAGCGCTCGCAGACATAGGGCTTCTCCCCGGTGTGCTGGCGCACGTGGGCGATGAGGGAGCTGGCCTGGGTGAAGGCCTTGCCGCACATCACGCACTGGCACGGCTTCTCGCCTGGGGAAGGGGGCAGGAGAAGGCGTTGGCGCCCACTCCCCTCCCCCCGCTCCCGCCCCAGCCCGTGGCAGCGCTGGGCTGACACCCACCAGTGTGGATGCGGACGTGCCGCTGCAGAGCGCCGGGGTCGGCAAACTGCCGCTGGCAGTGGATGCACACGTAGGGCTTCTCCCCGCTGTGGATCCGCAGGTGCCGCTTGAGGTTCCCTGTGGTGAGAACAAGGGCAGGCCTGGCAGGGGGCGCCACCAGGTGGCCGAGGAGCAGGGGTGTGAGGACAGCCAGGGCAGCCCTGGCCCTACCTGAGGTGGTGAACTGCTTCCCGCACTCCCGGCACTTGAGGGGCCCGTCCGCGATGTGGATCTTCAGGTGGGCCTTCAGATTCCCCACCTGTGCCCGGGCAGGAGTCAGCAGCGCCGTTCACACTCAGCCCTGGCCCCTTACCAGCCCTCCCGCCAGGGAATGATCATGCTTAGGTCTCCTGGGGACCCTGGATAGCTCCCTCTCTCCTCGGGCCGTGGACTATTCCAGATCCCAACAGAGAAAGGTAAAACCACCCATAGCCCAGCCTGATTCATCCTGCCCTCCTGGTTGCCTCCGCCGAGCTGCTGGGAGCTGACCCCAGGGAATCACTTTCCTCAGACACAGTGGCTGCTCCCCACTAGGCCTGTGTCCCCTAGGTGCCATCAGGAGGGAGCTTCAGGAGGACAGCTGTGTCTCCCCACCCCACGTGGCATGTGTCAGGGCTGTGGCCACCAGGGGCTCCTGGATGCTGGCTCCAGGAGGGGTCCGCACACCTGGTTGAACTTCTTGTCGCAGTGGGGGCACTTGTGCTCCTTGTCGGTGTCATGGGTCTCCAGGTGGCGCATCTTGGAGGTGGGGTCGGAGAAGGAGCGGCTGCAGTAGTCGCACTGGTAGGGCTTCTCCCCACTGTGCACCAGCTGGTGGCGCTTGAGGTTGCCCGAGGTGGTGAAGAGCTTGCCACAGTCCTCGCAGCGGTAGCGCGCCTCGCCCGAGTGCCGCTTCTTGTGCAAGTTCAGCAGGCTGATGAGCCGGTAGCTCTTGCCACACTCCTCGCAGCCATATGGCTTCAGCGGGCTGCATGGTCAGAGGGCGACAGGGAGAGGAGGGCTCGCAGGGCCCGGGGGCCGAGGCCAGGGGCGAGGGGGCCGGCCCGGGGCAGTACCTATGCGTCTTCTCGTGGGCCTTGCATGCGGCCGGGTCAGAGAAGGCCTTGCTGCACTCCCGACACGAGAAGGGCTTCTCGCCTGTGTGGATGCGGATGTGGCGCTTGAAGTTCCCCGTGTGCGTGAACTCCTTCCCACAGTCCTGCGGGCACAGCAGGGCGGGGTGCGTGAGGGGCTGAGGGGCGCAGGGAGGCCAGGGAGGGGGAGGGCTGGCCCACCACAGCCCGCACCTCGCACTTGTGGATGACGGAGCCGTAGGCCTTGGACTCTGTGCGGTCGCCATAGGTGCCTGAGCGCAGGCTTCGGGCCTCCGCGCCGAGCTCCTGCCCAGAGTCTGTGCCCGCTGACTCTTCATTCTCTTCGGGGGTCTCGCCATTCTCCAGCTGCAGCCCCTCCTCCTTGACCTCGGCAGGCTCTGCGCCCTCCTCCTCCGTCTCTTCTCCCTTCCTGGCTGGCTCCACCTCCATTTCTGAGAAGAGACAGGCAGGCACTGAGGCACTGGGAGGGCAGGAGGGGCCCGCAGAGGACAGAGTGCAGGGCATCTCGCACCTCCACACACGCCTTTTTCTCAGGGGCTCCGGCACCGCCTGGGAGTGACAAGTAAATGATCCCCAGCATTGGCCAGGAAAACACCTGAGGGTCTGAGACCTGGGTATCTGCTACTTGGGGGATACAGGTGTGGGCCCTGTCCCACTCGGGGGTGCTGTGGGCAGCAAGGCACGCCCTGCACGGTGCTCAGAGCTGGGAAGGAGCAGAAGCTCCCAGCTATGTAGGACACTTCTGTGCTAACAGCAACATAGCCAGGACATTCCACCAAGAAACCGATCTCAAGATTCCATAACAAGAGAAGATGAAGTCTGTCCAAAAGCTGAAGTGAATGGTGGCTCTGAGTGGGGTCAGCTGGAGGCAGGAGAAGAGGGAGGTCCGGGTGGGAGCGAGCTGGCCCTGGCTGGGCAGGTACCTTGCTCCGAGCTCTCTGATAACGCAGCCTCTGCTTCTGCGGCAGCCATGCCACTCGTGGGGTCTGGCTTGAGCTCCACAGGCAGCGGCTCCCGGGGGGCGTCGGCCTTCTCTGTCTGCTCTGCACCTGGGGTAGGACGGGGATGTACCGGAGGCTGAGTTGGGACCCTCTGTCTGGGGCCAGATCGCTCTGCTGGACTAGGCCCCTGCTGGTGGCCCAGCACACCCAAGCTCAGGCTGCTGGTGTCTCTGCTCTGGCTGGAACAGAACCCCCCACCCCCGACCCCGCGGAACAGAACAAACAATGCACCTTTCTGGGTAACAAAAAGTGCAGGTGCCTGTGCTACCTCCCCCTGAGGCAGCCCTCACTACCCTGGGCCCAGGCTGCTGGCAGGTGATGGGACAGGTATTCTGGTTTCCTGCTGCCCCCTCCCCCTCCAGGGCAGCCAGCGGGTCCTCAGCATCACAACTCACCGGGGGCTGCACTCTCGGCCTGGCCGCCTCGCTCCTCTTTGAGCTCCCTGCCTGGGCCTGTGGGTGGACTGCTCCCCACTTGGTCCAGCCTGCTCAGCATGGTGGCAGCAGCCTTCTCCTCTTTGGCTCTCTTGTCCCCTCCTGGAGATGGAATAGGACAGACCTGCCATTTCCCATCAAGTGCCCACCACGTGGAGGGGTGAGGTGGCTCAGAACTTGCTAGCTCTTCCACATCTTCCCTGGGGATACATCTAAGTAGTAGTTTGTTAATTCTTCACAAGGCGCCCACTCCATGCCAGGCTGCCCGGGGCACTGGGAACACAGCAGTGATGGTGCCTGCTTCTGCAGGGTGCGCAGAGGAGACAGACTTCACACGTGCATAAGGTCAGTGCTTGGAAGGGAGGGACATGGTCCTTTGAAAGTGCACAACAAGGAATCCAGCCCACAGCGGGTGACTGAGGGCTTTCTGAGGAGGTGAGGGGGGTGCGGGAAGGGCCTGGAGAACAGAGCTGCAGGAGGGTTTGGGAGGAGACCCGCCCATGTGCGAAGGTGCTGAACCAGGCACGGCTCCTGGTCCTCTGCTGGGGCAAGGCAGGAAACGGGCAGGCAGAGGGGCTGTTCTCACACCCGGCCGTGGCTAACCCTCACCATCACCCCAGCA